AGCCCACAGGGCTCTGAGGGCCGAAGGTGTCTCCTCTTAGCTCTGCCACCTAGTGGCCCCAAGGACAAGCTAGCCAGCATCATTTTCCCTCTGTAAATTCCCTCTGTAAGTGGAGATCATTGTGGCAGTCGCCCCATGTGGAGGCTGTGAGGGTGAAGTAACTTAGTACATGGAGAGGGTGAAGAGCAGCCTGGCCCGGCAGGGTGGGCAGGACAGGTGTGCGGCTCCCCGACTCTCCAACAGCTGACAGACACCCTTACTTTGTCTTTGTTCAGATGATTCCAGAAGTCCAGCCTAGTCTATCCTTTTGTACAGACTACACGTGTGCTTATTGTTCACCCCCACACACACACACTCACAGCCAGTCATGCCTCTGGGACTTGATCAAGCTGGGACTTGCATCCCTTGCACCAAGAACAAAGTGTGGTGCAGGGTAGGCACTCCAGAAGCATTTCCTGAAGGGATGTGCACACACCTGCTTCCACGTCTCTGTTCCTTAGTTATCTCCGCTTTCATCCCTGCTGACGAGCATTTGGTGGTTCTCACAGTGATGGTTTATTAGTGACGAGCTATCAGTTTTTATTTTTAGAATATTGTTTTCTCCCGTCGTTCTTCAATGGTAGTTCAGTGTAGACTACCAGGCTGGTATTTATTCACTGTGCCGTGATGACTAGCTAGTTGCTCTGTGGTTTTGAAAAGCTGCATGCTAGTACACTATTGGTCTTTTTGAGCATCAGGGCCGAGATCATTGGCACTGTGCAGCCCCACCGAAATCTCTTTTGAAAGAAGCTTTCTGAGTTTGTACCTCCTGGAAGTTGTCACAGAGTCTTCACAGTGAAGCATGACATCATGCAGTGATGTGGTAATAGCCAAAGAAATACAAAGTGGAACCAAGGTGTCCTCTGGGACACAGACAGAGTCTGTTACACATGTAATCTCCAACTGCAGTGAGGTGGAACTGAACATACCTCCCACGAGACGTGGGGCTTGCCACAGATGCCAACCTACAGCTGGTTGAGCACTTCATCCAGGCCTCTATGAACACATCAGTGTGTGGCAGGTCCAGCTAAGTGGCAGCCTTGGAAGGCAGCTCCTGAACAGGGTAGGAAGGAATCTTACGGCTCACCAAGCCAGATGTGCACACAGAGAGGACTATGGTAGGGCTTCTGAACAGCTGCTAAGTAGGAAGCCGAGAGTCAGGACTGTCTCAGGATTCATGGCAAGGCCTCCTGGGCAAGCCCAGCAGCTGCAGAGGTGAGCAGAGGCTTCCTGCTGGAGCAGAGTCTAAGAAGCTGGAGCACAATGACAGTCGCTAAGTAGCAAGCACAGCTGCCAGCAATGGCAGGGACTTGATGTGTGCTGAGAGGAAAGAGAGACTCATTTCATTGTCTTTGCCAAGGCCCTTGGCTGGTGCAGGAAAGGCAATTCTGCATACACAAAATACACAAACATATAAAGCAGAACTGTACCCAGCCACTTTCTATCCCTTCCTCAAAACAGAAAATGGTAAAAAGACAGGCCTGGCCTCTCCTAAAGAACAACAGCAAGGTTGCATTGAGATACTAAAAGCCTTGGGTTTTTATTTTAGGGCTTTTCTTTTATTTTCTGTGCTAGACGTTGATCCAGGGCTTGGTGTATGTTGAGAGGTGCTCTACTGAGCCGGACCCCAGATGTGCAGTGCTCTGGACAGCAATTCATCGTGTGGTTCTCATTCTTCACCAGTCCCTTCCAGTTCTTTTTTTCCCCTTTGGGTTTTAATTTTCCGAGATAGCGTCTCTCTGGGTAGCCCTGGTTATCCTGGAACTCACTCCATAGACCAGGCTGGCCTCGAACTCAGAGAATCCACCTGCCTCTACGTCCTGAGTGCTGGGACTAAAGGCATGCGGCACCACCATCGGCTGACTCTTTACCTGTTTACTTGGTTGATAGACTGTTTAAGGGACTAAGCAGTAGTGCAATAAAACCTCAGTTTCCAAAGCGTCTTCTGGTCACTTTGCTGTGACCCCTTCCCCAGTTCCTCTCACACTACTGTTTGTTTAGTTCTGTCTTCTCCTGGGCCCAGCAGCGTCTCTAGCTGTATACTAAACATGGCTGTTCAAAACTGTTGAGCTAGACTACACTCAGGATGAAGGAAGATGTTAGCGTGTGTCGCCTGGGAGATGCCTATTCAGTTCTCAGCAGCCATTCTTATTTTTAGCAGATTCCAACAATATGAATAAGCAGTAGGGTTTTTTTTTTTTTTTGCTTTGTTTTTGTTTTATGTAATGGTTACTTTCCTCATGGTTGTGACAAAATCCTAATGAGGAATGACTTATTTTGACTCAAGTATCTGGGGATTCCACTTCATCATGAAAGTTAAAGAGTGACCTCGGGAGTCCAGGTAGGCAGAAGCATGAGGCAGATGCTCATCTGACTGGCCAAGATGCAGAGATGGCACATGGCTGCACTCCAGAGACATTCCCCAGTCAACGCACTCCGTCAGACAGGCTTTGCTTTTTAAAGGTTCCACATCCTCCCTCGGCTGTGCCACCAACCAGGGACCAAGTGACACCCATAAGCCCGTGGGAGCCATTTTACATTCATTGGTAGCATTAGCACTGCATCAGAGCTGCAGTGCCTTAGTGCTTCATTACTCCTTGAGTGTATGGCTCTTCATCCATTTCCTGTCTTGTCACATTCACTATCACTGTGCCGTCTTCTGTGATACCAGGAAGGAAACCTGGGGATGAATTAAGACCCCAACCTTCAGGGTAGATTGCAGACAAAGTGGTGGGAAGAGCTGGGAGGGAGGGTGGGAGCACGGTGGGATACTGACTTCCAGTCAGGATGTGGCTTCCTATGCCCCTGTGATGTGATTACATGCACTAGATCTTCACAAGACTAAAACCTTCAGCATCCCATCATGGAAGGGGGAGGGACCCCAGGACCCCGCTCTTCCCCCAGTTAATGGTCTTTTTAGTGCTGTAGCCATTGCTTAGGTGCACATGCTTCTATGACCAACTCTAAGGAGACTCTTCCATTGGAACATACACACACACAGAGACACACACACAAATACACATAGAGACACACACACATGGGGGTGGGGCTGAGGGAGAGACAGAGGGAGAAGAGGAGCTAGTTTGAAAGAGCACAGGGGTTAGTGGCGACCAAGAGGGTGATTAATGAGGGGTAAGTGTGACCAAAGCACATTGTGTACACGTGTGACAACGTCACAATGGATCCATTAGTATGTATAATTAATAAATGCTAATGAAAACATCAGGAGACGGGAGAGGGCTAAAAGACACTTCCCGTGAGCCTAGAGATGGGACAGTCAACATGCTATTGAGGGATGATGGGACAGTCAATGTGCTATTGACAGATGATGGGATAGTCAACGTGCTATTGAGAGATGATGGGACAGTCAACGTGCTGTTGAGAGATGATGGGACAGTCAACGTGCTGTTGAGAGATGATGGGACAGTCAACGTGCTGTTGAGAGATGATGGGATAGTCAACGTGCTATTGAGAGATGATGGGATAGTCAACGTGCTGTTGAGAGATGATGGGACAGTCAACGTGCTGTTGAGAGATGATGGGATAGTCAACATGCTATTGAGGGATGATGGGACAGTCAACGTGCTGTTGAGAGATGATGGGACAGTCAACGTGCTATTGAGAGATGATGGGACAGTCAACGTGCTATTGAGAGATGATGGGATAGTCAACGTGCTGTTGAGAGATGATGGGACAGTCAACGTGCTATTGAGAGATGATGGGATAGTCAACGTGCTATTGAGAGATGGGATAGTCAACGTGCTATTGAGAGGTAAAAGCAGTGGCGCACAGTGATCAGAATGGTCGCACATGCCAATGTGGCTATGTGGGGCGGCAGTGGGAGGTAGGGAAACAGGGATGGATGGTTTGAGAAAGGAAGCGATGAAGTGATAGAGTCCCCACCCACAGTGCTGTGCCTATGTGCTGTACTGAGAAGCCTCTAAGGCTCAGCCTTGCACAGTGGAAGCTGCGATGTACCGACAAGATGTGCTGCCGTGAGCACATTGATTGCATGTCTGGATTTATTGAAATTATTAATCACACTTGGAGTCCTATAATTTTTGACACCCACTAGACATGTGTTTCAGTAAATCTCCAACCCAAATAAGACCAGTCAAAGAAAACACAACTCAGTAATTATGAATATAAGCTGCACGCCTAGATTGGGCAGATTCACCACTATCCTACTCTATTCCCCAGCTATGAGACCCTTACAACTTGTGGGTTTTCCAAGTCACGAGCTTGTCCTTCCACCTTCTGCTCCTCTGTTATCTTCCTCCTCCGTCATCTTCCTCCTCCATTGTCTTCCTCCTCTGTCATCTTCTCTCTCTCTTCCCACCAATCTTTATATCTCTGCCTCTTCTTCTACTGCCCAATCACTGGCTCTAGCCTTTATTTTACAAATTAAGGTGGGCAGAAGGTTCACTAGAATTCACCTGTGTAATGACTCACACCTCCTCTGCAGTCCCTCCCAGGAAAGTGGAATTAACATCAAATTACAAGGCCGGGGCTATCCACAATGGACATGGATAATATTTTCTCACATAAATGGCTTTGTTTATAAGAATATGTCAGTGCTGGGCCCTGCCATTTGTAATTTGCATAGTGAAATGCTGACTTTTCCAGCATACGTGGAGACAGTTATCTTGGTTGTAAAAAAAAGAAAACATCTGAACTATGCAAATAGTTTTAAGTCCAGTCCTTTACTGAAAAGGTTTTAGTGGTTTCTAAGCTAACTCTTCCTGGTTTAAGATAGTAGAGTCCAGCTGCTGGGTTAACAGGTGGATGCAGGTTGCCCTCTGTTGGTGATCAGTAGTTACTTTGGCAAAGTATCCATATGTGTCACCTATAATTGTATCAACCACTATATGGCAGAGAAAATTGTGACAGTCTTGTGAGTAAGAGGGTTTTGCATTCCCTGTCTTTGATGAATTGTTATTTAACTGTCTTTCTTTTGTCAGAGCACCACCTCAAATCAGGCGTCCCAATCGCGAAGTGAGGCCTCTGCGGAAAGACATGGGGGCAGGAGCCCGGGGACTCATGGGCCGAGCACACCAGATATCGAAGAGTGACAAACCTGCAAGTCGGGACAAGGACTATAGAGCAAGAGGGAGAGACGACAAGGCAAGACCGGTTCATCCCTCACAGCGGGGCTTTGTGGGTATTGTCGTTGGCGTTGAATTCTCAGGCATCCTTAGGGTTCTTTATATTTCAAAGACCGAATTGCAATGTACTTAATTTCAGATATGTAGTAAATGCGCGCGCGCGCGCACACACACACACACACACACACACACACACACACACACACAGAGTTACAGATGTGTTTATTAAAGTGCATGCACGTGCACACTCACACACAGTGATACAGGCAGGCATATTTAGTGAACTAAATGCACGCATACACGCAGAGGTATCAGTGTGTTAGCAAAGTGGACGTTTTGTAGATTACACAAAAGAAAGGAGAACAGGAGTGACCCTGGCTGTGGGCTCCTGGAAGGCTCTGGGCACCATTCATGAACAGTTCGTGAGACAAACTTACTCCCCTTTTAAGAGGAAAAAACTAAGGTACAGGGTGGGTGCTCCAGTCCTCTCCCAGTGAGGGGTGGAGTCTGTGAAGATCTCCCCTTACCTCAACCACTATCCAAGTCTGGATTGGATTTGAGGAAAGAAATTTGCCACTGAATCGTTCTCAGTTTTTACATGTGACTCTTCAACTGAGGACAAATCAAACCGGCAACAGCTGTCAGAGGCACACATGTTCCTCCAGAGGTTATAAATGGCTTCTCATTTACAATGTTTCTGAATAATTGTCTGTCTTACTCTGTCAATGACAAGCTGAGTACTCAGACTATCAGTAGAAAATCAGCCTCTCTTATTTCTACCGTTGTTGAGGAGGTAGGAGAGATGATCTGAGTCACCACAGAAATAAAAGGAACTACTCTTAAAAAACAAACAGGGAAGTGTCATGCAAGCTTGAAAGGTGTAGTTGTCTCTGATCTGATTATCACAGCAGAGACTAGAGATTCCGGGGCTGCTTTGAAAATGAAGAAGGCAAGATCCTGGGGGCTGTTATAGACTCCATTTTCAATCATTTGGTTGGCGTGTGGCACCAAAAAGATTAAGTGAATTAGTCCAGAAAAATCAGACTGTATTGCCCAGAATAAAGACAGTGTTAGCTTGAGGATGTTTGGGTGAGTAAGCGTGTCGACATTTAGTTGTAGGGGCTCCCGCTTGGCTTCCGAGACAGAGCTGTTACAGCACACTGGTGTGCAGAGGAGAGGGGCCCGGAGTTATCTGATTGTTGTTCCGTGTGTTGAGTCCTACCTCTCTACCCATTCCCATTTCTAGGCTCAGTGTGGTGTGCACACCTTTAATCCCAGCGCCCAGGAAGACAGGCAGGCAAAACTCTGTGAGTTCAAGGCCAACCTGGTCCACATAGTTACTTATACCCTGCCAGAAAAATAAACAAAAGAGAAAAAAAGAATTTATATATGCTTGTGTAATCTCACAGTCTAATAGATTAATTTGTGTATAGAATTCTGAAAGCTGCTTACTTTATAGGTCTAAAAAATGAGGATAAAATGAATTTATTTTGAGCCCATTAGATGGCTCAGCAGGTAAAGGCCTTTATAATAAATCACAGCTTGTCAGGGGTCCCTGCCACATTTGCGTTTAACTGTATGTTTGGGATTGCATTATAGAATGACAGGCAGCAGCAGTGGGAGCCTTGCTCTTCCTGGGTACCCGCACTTTGGTGTCGCTCTGACACTTTTGAAGCTGTCTTTGTTGGTTTATTCGGTCCCTCCAGCCGTCCTCCTCCTTAGAAGCCCTACCTCCTGCTTAGAGCTGACAGTGCTCTGGGCCTGGGCTGTGAAGGTTATGGCTGTGCGTCCAAGTTTTAGATCATGATATGACTTGGTGTGAAAGTTTCTTATCTTATTTTAATTATTTTTTAAATAGAATTCAGGTTAAAATAGGATGACTTACATTTCTCGGCATACTTCTATATTGACTTTAATTTTCTATTAATTTTTCTGTCAAAAGAAAACACTGGTAAAAAAAAAATCGGTAGATTTTGTGAGAGATTACATCTTTTTTTCCCACTTCTTTTTAAACTTGTGATAGGCTTCAGAATAGGTCTTAGCATAAAGCGCTGTTTGTAAAATAAGCAGCAGTCATTTTGCACAATGATTTTTGGTTGAGAGCATGTTTATTTTTAATCCTGAGGTCCACAGGATTGTCTACATAGCCAGTGTCTACCATAATTTATTAGCACATTTTTACTAGCTATGTACTTTGCGTTAGTCATATAATATATATAAACTAGTAAAGTGTACCTGGCTGTCACCCCAGCACTCAGGAGGCTGATACAGGATGGTCATGAGCTTGACGCCATTGGGCATCATAAAAAGAGGACTCCTGCCTGACATCTATTACTTCTCATTGCCGGCAGGAGTGGCACGGACAGCTAAGCTGTGCTTAGTGTTATTTGAATGTGCCGGGTGTCTTGGTCTGTCTGGGATGCTAACACTGGATCATTTATAAATGGGTGAGCCTCAGGCAGGTGAAGGCATCTCTAGGCCCACCTCGTACGACAACATACTGGAGACCAGGTTTTGACGTGATGTTTGGAGGAGCCTGCATGTTCAGCCTCTAGCACACGGAAAAGCTGAATTTACTGTTTTGTCATTTAAGCTTAGAGTCAATATAGAAGTATGTTGAGAAATGTAAGTCACCCTACTGTAACCTGAATTCTATTTTAAAGGATGTGTATCTTTAGTCATGAGATAAAGGAACACTGGCCATTTTCACCAAGAACAATACGTTATATTTTTATAATTCTGAGAATCAGAATTTTATGTAGAAATAAAAATGCTTTTTTTTAATTTAGAAAGGATATACTAAAGGTAAATATGAGGGAGTAGAAGAAATATTTTTTATATTATCTTTAAGAAATACAAGTTAGAAAGCCCAGACTCTCAAATGCTAGCTGTATTGCCTTAGCTAATTTGCATCTAATGAGCAGTGTCCTGAATGATCCCATGAACACGATTACATGTGCTTCTAAGTGGAGTTCAGATTAAAGGAGGCCGACTGACCTCATAGAATTCACTGCCCAGTTATTCAGCCTAAAGCACTTTGTCTTATTACATCTTATAGAGCAAATGGCCATGGTGAATGCTGTCTTGTTGTGGTTGGCGTCCAGACACAGGCATGGAGGGATGCTGGAACAAGACTGGACTGTTCTGTTGACACCTGCTAATTGATGGACACGAACTGTCACACATGACCAGTAATTTAAGAAAGTGCATAAATCATAATTGAGTTAGTTTATGAATTATCATCTCATGTGAGGTGCTGATGTGTGTTGAAGAACTACTTTTCTGGGAAAAAGTGTGTTCATATATAATTCATGCACATAACATTCACATGTGAGTCCCTGACAGATATGCTTAACATAAGACATATGCAGCAGCTTGTCCATAATTTAGGAAAACAGATGTCCAGTGCTCTTGATAGACTTCAGAGAACACCTTCTCTGATTGGGCCTACTCACATCTCTGTCTCCCTGAGATTGCAGTGGTGGAGGGATACTGTAGCCGTGGATGCTGGCTGGTGACTTGCTTTCTTTGGTGAAGCAGTGAAAGGCAGAGGATCTTGGAATTTGGCTCATTCCTCTGTGACTCTGCAACACAGATGAACAGGACCATTTTCAAATGTTGGGAGAATATTCATTTTTAGTGGTTTTTTAATATTGTAAAAACAATGGAAACTGCATGTGTGTTATGTGCACATGTATGTATGGTACACATATATACTCATGTGTGTTTGTCTAGGTGTGGATACCCATGCATGTGTGTACCTGTGTGTGGAGGTCAGAGGTTGATACCAGGTGTCTGTCACTTTCCACCTTATCTTTGGAGACAGGGTCTCATGCTGACCCTAAGCTGTAGTTGATGAGGCCAACTGGCCAGCAAGCTCTGGGTCCTCTTGTCCATACCTCCCACTGGGCACTCGGACAACGCCCAGCTTTTCTCCTGGGCGCTGGGCATCTGTACTCAGGTCTTCGTGCTTTCCCGTGGGGGTTTTACCCTCTGAGCCATCCCTCCAGCCTCCAATGATATACTTTCAGGTTGACTTTGCATTGACATTTTAACCTTCACTTTTAATAGTCTAAACGGTCAACAGCAACAAAATGAGCCCTAACGTAGCACACCTGCCGATTTCTGTGGTAGAGTTGAGTCCTTGATGACTGGGTCAGCATCTCATTCAACCCTGTCTATATGAGGTGGGTGATTCCCTACTCTGCCGGGTTTCCACCATGCAGACATAGATTTAAGAAACTTCTAGAGCACAGACAGTGGTAATCAGAAAGTGAGGATATTTATATATATATATATATATATATTAAGCTATTGATGAGGTTTAAAAGTATTAAGTGTGCTTCTCAACTGGTTTATGAAATTCTTGAAAAATATAATAATTGTCTATTATAAACAAAAAGATAGTTTCTGTAGTAACCCTTGTAGGTTTCTTATCATAAATGTGACCAACCCAGGTCAAGAAAAAAGCATTGGCTCCTCAGAATTCATAAGCTGTGGTGGTCTTGATCTCTCCCAGTCTCTCCTGCTTCCTTCTTTCCCAGAGTGACCAGTACCCCGTGTGATGATGACTTATGAGATAGTAGCATCTTGTTTGAGGACGCTACTGTTTTGTGGGATTAGTAGCACCTGTTTTTAGGAATTGGATTTTTGATTTTTACTGTTTCTTATTCTTTCTCTGCTTAATATGTTTCTAAGATTTCTCTCTGCTTTTGCTGATACTGTAAGTTAATTCTCATAATTATACCCAATTATGTACAATTAAATATTTCCTTGTGAGTAGATTTTTGGGTTGTCTCTACTCTGGAACTGTTGAATGGTGCCAATTTGAATAGTTTTTCCTTCGTTGGTGTGTGTATGCATCCATTTTTAGTAAGTACACATTAGGGGTGTGTAGGCTTAGATTTTTCAAAACCTACTTTAATAAGGATTCTTAAGTGCTTCAACCTCCCTTCTAGACAACTGACCAAAGTTAGGGGAGAAAGGTTAACAGGACAAGGAGTAGAGGCAGGTCTTTGG